GCTTGCATAAATGCTTGGCTGCGCTGCAGGGGAAATTGTCTCAATAGCCGTGCTAGCCGGCTGTGCCTCGTCAAGTCGCGGCCCGGCTAATGAGATCGACTCCGTGGTTTGCCTCATGGTCATCACCGACGGGTTCACCGTCTCCTCCAGTGTTTGTAGAACGATGAAAAAAGAAACTGCCTAATGTTATTTGGCTTTTCTTTCGAGACATGTCATCTTTTTTTTGTGAGGGTTTACCGTGATGTTTGTGTGTGATGACAGTTGGGAGTGTTTTGCGGCGTTGCTTCAGGGGATGAAAAGATAACTTGGATGAAAAAAGCCAACTGACCCTTGAATTGATGAGTTCACGTGTTGACCAAAAGATGTCGCCATTGCGCTTTCCAACTAAGCATGTTCCCTGTCACGAACTGCACCAGTGTGACTGGAATTTGAAGACCTACTAAAAAAAATTTAAATAAATAAACGATGCTAAGCCTGGCGGGGGCCCAAGTTAGGCCTAGTGGCCCGCCAGGCCTGCAATACACTGGGGGAAACCCTGCATAATAATACTGACAGGGTAACAAAGGACAAGTGGTTAATTTCATTGAGCTTTTTTCAGTGAACTAGTTTAAGAAATATAATTGCACAATATAGCCTGCATGTCATTTTACAAAAATATAAAATTATGTTAATTAGCTACCATACTTTATATTTTAGTAAATTCAATCTCAGCAGGGGAAATTCTGAAGCCTAAGTCACAATTCATTTCCAGTATGTATCCAGCAGGGTAATGAAAATGAGGTCCAGATACATGCAATTAAAGGGGCATTGTCAATAGCTGGGCATGCGCAGTTTGGTTGCGAAACTCATGTGAAACTTATCTTTTCTGTGGGCCACAGGAAAGTCCAGCATTCACCTTACAATGAAGGAGCACAACAATCTAAACGATTCCAGCTTTCTTTCATGACATCTGTGCAAACTATGTGCTGCATTATTAGGCAAGGTCGTGGGAAGGAAATTGTGGTTATTTTTAACTTCTCAAGGCCAAAATATGGCTTTGAGGAATCCAAATGTGAGACGGGGCATTATCTTCAGACCGATGCTTTCACCCTTTCAAAACCAGGGTGAGTGCGGAGACATTTCAATATGCAACCTCCACTTTTTACGGCTTTTTATTTGCCGGAACGATTTCAAAAGGGGACACAAATATATTTTGGGGGTTTTATAAGTGAAAAGGGGTTTAGAATATTAACATTGAATGTTAATGTTGCGATTGCATATGCTGCGCAAGCGCTAGCAATGCGGTTGCATATGGAAATGTCTCCGTACTCACCTAGTAAGTAAGTAAAGTAAGTAATATTTATTTATATACTGTAGCACCTTTCACAGACAGAGTCACAAAGTCCCTCACAGTCATTTACATAGAGAAGAGAATAAATACAATAAAATACAATTAAAATAGGGATAGAATAAGAACACAGAAAGATTCAAATGCCAGTTAGTCAAGTCAAGTTCAGTAGAATGAAAGGGCAGCGCCCAGCCTAATCCTTCTCTTCTCCGTGACACCAGCATGAGCAAATGGTCGACAAACACTGAATCAGTGCTGTATTAGCGAGGCTTGGTCAAGTAGTGAATACTTCCTTTTGTGTTTGTCTCCCCATGCTTTCCTTGTTTTGAAAGGGTGATCGGGTGAAAGCATCGGTCTGAAGATAGTGCCCCGTCTCACATTTAGATTGCTCAAAACCATATTTCATGTGCTGTTTCATCATTTTCAAAATGAATTACTTCCAGTAATGAATATTCTGATCAGAGGTTTTTTCTAACAACAGACCATCTGGAATTGAACCAACTGCAATAACAACAGGGTGGCTGTCAGAGGCAGGGCAGGATTTTAACATTTATAATGATGATAAACATAATCTATCACATCTATCATACTCATCTTCAAACTCAAAGTTTCTTCTTATTTCCAACTAGTGACATGCAATATCTTAAGGTTGAATCTAAAACGGTTCCGATTTGATTATTGTGTTAACTCCGGCAAGACAAAATGTATGATTCCAATGCCAGCTACGCTTTGTGACTGGAATTAACAATCAGTATAACTTTATTTATACGTCCAAAAGCTTTGTAATTGAGGGAAAATTTGTTATGCACAATCCGTATTAGTAGACGTATATGCTATAGAATTATTATGTGTTTTATAGGCATTATTTAATTTGTGGTCAAAAAATACTTTTAGTCAGTGGATCCCAATTAAGAATAGAAAAACTCTGGAAGATCACATTTACTTTAAGTTGATTTAACAGTACTTAAATTTTGCGGCTGCTAAAGTTGCAACCTTTTGATGGTGGCATCTCTCCACTTGTTCTGCCAGAGTCGGCTATTTGCACGCTGTTGGCAGGCCAAGATGACAAAGATATGGCTCGTTTGCTTGAGTTCAATAACTACTCAACCGGATGGAATGCTTTCAAAACTCATCATGCCACATACAATCTTTGGGGATAATGGTCAGCCTAAATATTAAATATATAATTTCCCTCCTTAGATGCTATGTCCATCTGCAATTTCATCACCCATGCTCATTCTGTCCAAAAAAATCCGGGCCTCAACCATCCAGACCTACTTATCGGGCATTAATTTTTCATCAAACTAATCACTGGCCTCCATTGTCCTTCTACCTCCCATTCTCACATGACGATGTTAATCAAAGGCCTGCAAAATAAGAACCTACTCTCAAGGCCAGATGCTTGCCCTCTCACCTCTGACCTTCTCATCCTCTGCAGCCGCACTCTTCGTTCAGGCTATTTATCCCCCCATGGTTGACTTAACCCTAGAATGCATGTTCTCACTGGCTGTTTTGGTTTCCTGAGATGCTCCGAATTCGCCCCAACGTCATCCATCGACAATTTGTCCTGCCGTCCCAGCCTATCTGACATAAACGTCCACTCTCTTGACTCCTTCATATTTAAACTCCGAAGGAGTATAACTGATCAGCTGGGAATTTCCTTCCCTTTCTACATTTTCTGCCTCAATTCATTTCTCAGCTTATATGAGCCCCTGACTAAATACGTAAGCTACAGATAGGCTGCAAAAGCATTGCCTCAGCATCCACTCTTTCTTACTGAAATGGGCAATATGGCCACTGGATTCTGGTTCCGGAAACATTTACATAGTCCTCAGCATTTCAGCTATTTCCCCCAGAACACACCGATGGGCTTCTCAAGCATATCGCAAATACATCCGTAATAATCTTTAAGACCTCTATCAAGCCCACGCTCAGCTCAGCTCAATTTCATTCTGACTCTTTTGGGGCCTCGAGATCAGCTCGGGTGGATAAACGCCGAGACGGATCCCCCACACTAAGTCTCCCTCCGCCTAGTCTTCAGCATGTCCTCCCAGACAACCTCAAAGACAACATCCCTCTTTCACCCCTAAGCCTACTCTCACAATTGCGCAAATTACATTTGCATATTACATATTAAGCCTTTAAACTACACATTGTTGTGGCGTGGTCCGTGCTATTGAAATGAAGCTAATAAGTTAACTTAGGTTTGGGAGCAGTGCCATACCTCAATCCCACTTTCAGTCACCTGGCAAGCCTACTTATACCTGTTCAGCCCCTTCCTCTCTGTTTGGCTCAGATCTCTCGACCCACCCACCCCTCTTCCCCTAACCGTCATCCATCTCCTTACTACCTCATCCCTACCCACATCCCTGCATCCTCTTCCATTCATCCTCATTCCTTCTAACCTCATCCCTACCCACATTTCTGCATCCTCTTCCATTCATCCTCATCCCTTCCTACCTCATCCCTACCCTCATCCCTTCATCCTCTTCCCCTCTCCACTCCTCTCCTCCAGTTCAACCCGGTGCACACCTCTCCCATCTCTCTTTTTAGAGACCGTCTGGGGGTTCAAGATCAGCTCAGGTGGATATACGCTGAGACGGCACCCCCACACTGAGTCTCCCTCCGCCCAGTCTTCAGCATGTCCTCCCAGACAACCTCAAAGACAACATCCCTCTTGCACTCCAATGCCTACTCTCACAATTGCACAGATTACATTAAACATTTGAACTACACAATGTTCTGGAGTGGTCCTTGCCATATGGTTCATGGTTCGATGGGGTTGCAATAAATCTCTTTATTAGTCATAGGCTTGTTTTAGCCGCAGTGCAGTGGTGGTCAACCCTGGTCCTGGAGAGCCGCAGTGTCTTTGATGAATTAAAGCAGTTGATTACAGGCTTAACTCATCTCACCTGGTGTCTTAGGTTTAAATAGGGTGGAGAAAACCAAACTCAGCACACCCTGTGGCTCTCCAGGACCAGGGCTTGCTACCACTGCCCTATAAACTTTTATCTTTACTTTGTGCTTCTACATTGTCTGCATTACAACTATGCTAAATGTCCAACTACATTGACAAATCTTGGTTTCCACGTAGACGGCTGTCACAACCTGTATGTCTGCTTAATTGGCTCGAGGAGTCTTGTGGGTGGTTCCTCGTAATTGATTGATTAGCTTATTATTCCTCTAGTGCAGGAGTATTGCAATCATAAGGGCAGATTTGCCAAGTAGGAAGAAACAGTTCTCAGCAGAGGAAACCTGTTTGCTTGTGAGCGGAATAAAAGCGTGCGAGCAAACCATTGTGGAAAGTATGGAAACCTGATCAGAGTGATGTGCTTAAATGAAATACAAAACTGTTTTAATCCAACCCAGAAGTTAAAAATCAATCAAATCTTTTTATTAGATAGTTACACAGTGCAGAGTAACAGGAAGGTTGGGAAGAAGAATGGGGGAAGACATGCGGCAAATGACTCAAGCTGGAATCGAACCCGGGTCGCTGCTGACGCAGGGAGTAGCAAGACCCAAAAGCAACATAATCAGGAACAATGAAGGTTTACTGGTTTTTAATGGTCTTGAGGCAGGGGCAAACAGAATGCAGTGCAGAGTAATAGGGTACAGAACAGGATCTGGAGCTTGTGGATCTTGAGTGGAGCTCTTCGAGTAACTCGCTGGAGCAGGCGCCAACGGCGGGAATCGAACCCGGCTCGCCCACACCACAGGCAGAAGAGTTACCACTGGGCCACCAGAGCAGGCTGGCTTGAGGCTTGGTAGGCGAGGTCATATCCACACAGGCAGGCGGTGGAGTGGCGAGATGGATGGCTTGGACAGGGGCTTGGAAGATGGCAGACAGGAACCAGGAAACACACAGGCAGAACACAGAGTCAGAGGCAGAAGACAATCAGGTTTACCGGGGCAGGAACAAGAGGATGTAGTCAGAGGCAGGCAGAATCGATTTCAGGAAGACAGACCGAAGGTAAACGCTGGAGAGTAGTGCATGCTGCAACGACAATCTGGCAGTGAGTTAAAGGAACAGAGCTGCTTATATACTGGCTGGTAAACGAGACTCAGCTGAGAGTAACTGCAGTGGAAGGGGTGTGGCCAGGCAGAGGGAGAGGCAGCAGCAGCGGACTGTGACAGCCACGGGAAGGACATGACCTTTATGGTGCGCGCACTTAGACCAATATGCCACCGGGGACACAAAATATAAAACTTATCTACATGCCATCTTCAGCAGCATTTGCAACATAACTTTCTACTTCAAGATGGAATTTAGAGAAGTTTCAGTTAAGGTAGGTATATACTCCCAAATACATTTATTTCTCTTTCATTCATAACAATTTAGTACCAACATCATATGAACAACTACTAAATACAGAATTAAAGTGATGGCTCATTTACATAAATTATGCTAATTAGGTCCCAAGATGGCTACCACAATGTGGAACTGGATCAAGTACTTCAGGCAGGATATCTCTAAAACTTTTTATTACTTTAATCTCAAATTTTCACAGATCATGTATGACTATATAGTGAATGTTCTGATCAGAGGGTTTTCAGAAATAATATTTCTATGAAAAAATATGGCCATTTTAGTGTTTTTTTTTTTTTTTTTTTTTTACTTTATTGGGTACCTAATTACCACAAAATCTAGAGTTACACAAATGATTTCTTCAAAATGCCGGATCAGTCCATAGACATGAATCTGGTGAAATTATATTCCAAATTTCACAATGACAGCATGAGAGAAAGAGGAGAAATGGTGTTTGAAGCAATGCTTGGCAGGTCAAAATCAACATTTTTGAGAAATTGACAAAAAACAACAGATGTCCATATTTTTGATAGTCCTATCAAGTACACACACTATGAACTTACTGAAGGTTAATTTACAAAAATGTCAAAAACAATTTTTTCGAAAAAAAAAATAGCCTTCCTCTGATGCAAAACTGTATCTCTCAGTCATTAATGGCAACGCAGCTTATTGGTAGCATATTTACTCAGCAAATTAATTCCATTAGTTGTCCGATTCTTAAAGGGCATCTAAGGTCGATTCCCATTGTTTTTGTTTATCAGCCAATCAGCAAGCTGCACCTGCGCAAACGAACCGAAATAGAAGGATTATCTACGCGTGTACACAAAACATTGGTTGATGAATGAAATTGGTCATGTGACAATGCAGGATGTCAACAAAAGCAAGTGATTTGTTTGTAAACACTGGACATTCAACGTCCCGTCTGAGAATCGATTTTAGATGCCCTTTAACTGGAAACAAGTTGAGAGTTAACCTGCATTATGTTAATGTCACTGGTTGTAGACAGAGTTTTATTTTTGCATAAGCAAACTTGACACTTGGACCTTGTGGTGGGAAAAATATCCTAAAGTATGCTACATTAAAATTATAACCATAATCTCAGCTCAACTGAAAAACCTGAGCCAGGTTCATATGGCTTTTTTAACTGCTGTAAAAGAAGTAGCAGTGAAGAAGGCAAAAACTAATAAATCTGCTAAGAAACCCAGATAAGCCAAACTCAAGGCCGGATAAATGAGCAAGTTTTCCAGAAGACCGCCTGGATGAGATAATCTTCCAGAATGACTATATCGGTAGTCAACCAACAAGTGGTCCCATTATATGAGCACGCGTGCTCCAGTGTTCTGGAAAAATCCAAGAACTCTGCTAACTTGGGCACCCAAACTGACCTTCAGGTGAACCCAAGGTTTGGGAGGCTCAGGTGTGGTGCTCGTGCGTCCCTGGAGGCCTAAAATGAATTTGCACTATTATACAACGGCAAACTTGTAACTAAGGGTGGAGGGTTGTTATATGACAATGTACAAATAAGAAATTGATAATGTTCGATAAGGTAGAAAGAGTCACATTTAACCACACCTAAGGGGAAGTCCCAAAGGCCTAATAAATACGACGGTTCGGACAATCGGTGGTCAGTTGGCATGGGGCAATTGATGGGATATGAATGCTACTTGGTTTGCGCAGACCAGCCTGGGTTTTCGTATTTCACTTTGAGCAAGATACAATAAACCCAATTGCATCAGACTCTGGAAATTGCATCCATTCTTTGGCAGCAGATCTACAAGCGTGAGGGCAACACTTAGTCCAGTTGCCCAGGCTGAGTTTTACTCCCACAACCTCAAAATCAAGGATCTTGCTCTCCAGATGCTCAATTTTGCTCAATATGTTGGTCATTATTGCTGTAGGGTCTGTTCTATGGAGGGAGGATTCGTAGCAGCTGCCTCCCTTCAGTTCCACACTCGGACTGGCAGGGATCCCACAGAACAGAGCCATATCGCCAAACCTGATGTATGCTTGATTGCCTGTGTGCATAAATTTTCTCTTTTTAACAAAGTGGTCCTAGAAGAAATAATAGTATTTTGATTACGCCACCCTAACCCTTGAATTAAATGAGACAGGAGTGAAATGAACTTGCTTCAGCTTATTGAAGAAATTCATGTTAATTAGCCTATAATTACTTAAAAATGCCGCTTTTAAAGCAGCACTATGTAGTTTTTTCACTCTCAAATATATATTTCCAAGATTATTCTGGCGAACGACTCATAATAGGTTGAATGACACCTTTGTCATGGGTCGATCGCACCTGTATCGTCTTCACTGGCACTATGTAACTTGGGGTTTCGGGTAGGAACCCAGGCCACCCAGGCCCGAAAAGAAGTACAAAACTTACTAACTGCTTTACGGCATACGTCACACAATCCCCCTTCCTCACGTCTCTCAAGACCAGCGAGTGAATGTAGAATGAAGCAGAGTTGGAAGTGGTTGTAATGGCTGTAGCGGCGAGGAAACAGAGGAAGGCAAAGGTGTTGTCCGAGGAGACATTAAAAAGAAAAGGCGAAAGCGATAAACTAAGATCCAGGACTAGGGTCAACATTGGACCGGCTTTCACTCGCTGGCGAGAGCTGAAAGAGGAGGAGGAATGTCCGACCAACGGCGACCTGGCGTTGTTTCTTTTAGACAAGTACAAATTGTTACCTTAATCCTTCATTCTAGATTTAGTTCTAGTGCGTTTCAACTTGCTTTGTGTCAGGCTGTGTCATTGAAATCTAGTATCCCGTTTAGGCTCAGTCAAATAATCTTCAACAGTGATTTATCTGTCTAGATGGTATCTGACATGCTAGCTAGTTGCCATGCTATCGCTAGCCGGCAAACATTGCTAAACTAGATGTTTGATCATAAACGTATACTTCACTCCTGTATAGAGTACTACAGGTAGAAGATTTGTTGTGTTTTATTTTGGAAGGATAAGGTAATGCTCTGGCTTGGCATTTACTGATGTCGTTTCAGGGATTTTCTGCCAATTCCCTTGTTTTACTGCACAAGCAAATCGGTTCTGTGCATGACGATTTTGTGGTCGGATTCTACAGAGGGAATGGCTATTCGAACAGCAACTGTGCATGTAAGCGACGTCCACTCACTTCTCAGCAGAGCAAAAATAAATTGATGCCAGTTAAGACTAGGATTAGTAGCAGCTGTGCATGTAAGCGACGCCAACTCGCTCACTAGCAGAGCACTGCGGAGCAAAAATGAATCAATGATGGAAAGGTTAGGGTTAGGCCGGGGTTAGATTTAGGTTCACGGTTAAAGTTACGGCTAGGGGTGTTGGTTATGCTGCGAACAAGCATTGCAACAATGCTCATATGCACGGTCGCTGTGCGAATAGCCACAGCCTTTTACAAATATGTTGGCTTGTCGAGCTTGGTATGATTGCAAACGTTGACCACCAAACAAAAATTCTAGCTAACTAAGAGGGAGAAAGAAGTTATATAAGGAGGCTGCCTGAATAAATATGAATTTTTAAAAGTAGAATCTAAGCATACTTTGAAGACATGGTTGATTGGATCGCACATTACATGTCCCGCTTCAGAAAGTTCGCTGGTGTTGTTGGCTTGTCAACAGATGCACGTGTAGACAGATTTTACGACAGTTGTTACAGACAATACCGTTTATCAACTGCAGGGGGACACCGCGAGCGAATCCGGTGAAAACTACAAAGTGCTGCTTTAAGGCTGCTCCGTTTGTCAGCCAAACTGTATACAATAATAAACACTGTTCAGATGAAATGCGGAGTTTTGTACAACCCCAATATCGAAACAGTTGGGACGAAGTGTAAATTCTGAATTAAATTAAAATGCAAAGACTTTCAGATCACATGAGCCAATATGTTATTTACAATAGAACTTAGATAACATCTCAAATCATCTAGATAACATCTAGATGATGTTAGATAACATCATCTGAGACATTTTTTTAATTTTATCCACAAAATGAGCTTATTTCAAATTTTCTGGCTGCAACAGGTCTCAATAAAGTTGGGACACAGGCAAAAAAGGGCTGAAAAAGCAATTAATATATAAGAGAATCAGCTGAAAGAAAATTTATCAAGTAATTAAGTTAACTGGCATCAGGTGTGTAACATGATTGGCTATAAAAGGGATGTCTTAGAGAGGCTGAGTCTCTCAGAAATAAAGATGGCCAGAGGCTCTCCAACCTGTGAAGGTTTGCGTAAAAAAATTGTGGAATACTTTAAAAACAATGTTCCTCAACGTCAAATTGCAAAGGCTTTGAAGGTCTGATCATCGACAGTGCATAACATCATCAAAAGATTCAGAGAAACTGGAAAAATCTCTGCGCGTAAGGGACAAGGCCGAAGACCTTTACTGGATGTCCGTGATCTTCGGGCCCTCAGACGCCACTGCATCACTCATCAGCATGATTCTGTCATTG